CAAACAGATGAGGCAGGTAGGAAGTTCAAAAGAATGTGCCCGCAACTGCAGCCTGCAATCTCATAAATGACGGGCAGGGCCTAGTCGCACAGGGCCACCCGGAGCAGGTGCTTGGGCCATCGCCTCCTCCCTGCTACAACAAGTCCCTGCAGCGGGCTCACAGGAATTTCCAGTTCTCTAAGCATTCCTTGTTCCTTGGAGCTTCTTACCGCCTTCAATGTCTAGCACTTTAAAAAAGAGAGAAAGAAGGAAAGGAAAGGAAGAAAAAGAGAGAGGAAAGATGAAGGAAGAAAAGAAGGAAAAAAGAGAGAAAGGAAGGAAGGATTTTGCACCTGTTTGTTTTATTAGAAATGCTGGCTAAAAACGGATCTACCCAAAGGCCACCTCTAAAATTAGTCATATTTCCTGCTATGCAAAACATAGTAAATGGCATTTTTAGTAATTCTTTCACCCCAGGTATCTGGCACTGTCGTGCTCAAAGCATGATTACTGACAACTTACCACGCAGGCAACCCTTATTCCGAGCCCCTAAAATAGCTCCAGTGAAGTGATAAATAGGCTTTTTTTTCCCTTCCCCTTTTTAATCACGGTTTAGAACAAGATATTCAAATACCTTAGCCAATCTATGTTCCCAAATATGTCTTTTAGTCACAAAAGAAGGCCCCTGCTTTATTAAACCAGCTCTAGCCCGAGTTCTTGTTGTTCTCAATCAGGCTCTGCTGACTGTATAATGCGTTTTTTTTTTTTTTTTTTAATTTCCTAACATCAGGGCAGCAAACATAACTTCTGGCTATCTTTCAAAGTTGTTACTCAATATTCTTGCTCCATGATTCTGCGTTGCATCCAAAGCCACACAGAACAATTCTTCTGCAGAATCTGCTTTCCAGATTCTTTTTCCTGCTCCAATCATCCACGGACATTTAGCCAAAGCCATGGGGCCCTGACGAGGACTGTGCCCGTATGAGTTCCAGCCACAACATCAAGGAAACTAAACTATTTATGTTTCAATCCAGATGAACAGACTGCATGAGCTCAGAGAGATGAAACAGGTCTCAATCCAAAGTCATCCTCTCTTGGCAAGTCTTCAAACAGTCACCCAGATACCAAAGATGTCCAAACCCATCAGGAACACAGAACACAGCTCTACATCCTCACGGAGACACAACTGAGGTCTGACAAGCATGTTAAGAGGCTCACTGGGCTAATCCTGTAATCCTCTACTACAAATGCTGGCACCCTATACAGGTGCTGGTTCGATTACCAGCTGGTCTGCTTCCCACCCAGCACTCTATTTATGAACCTGGACAGCAGCAGAAGAAGGCTCAAGTCCTTGGGCCCCTATGCACATGCGGGGGGGACCCAGGAGAAGCTCCTGGCTCCTGGCCTTAGATCGGCTCACCTCTGGCCATTGTGGCCATTTGGGGAGTGAACCCACAGATGGAAGATTTTTCTGTCTCTATAAATCTGCCTTTCCAATAAAAGTCAATAAAATTATTGTAAGGCATATTACAGGAAAGTTGCTCTTGTTGTCTCTGGATTCATAGCAAGCCACGGAGCGCTGTACCTAAAACTTCCGGAGAAGATTCCCCAAATCAAAACACAACACACTGATATCCACCATCGTCACACCCAGCATCCTCAGCCGGCACACTCGAGGTTTTCATCTCAATCACCTAGAACGAAATACAAACCCGGAGGACGCAGCTCTGCCCCTGGCCAAACCGGGGACAGCCCCTCCTCGTCCCTTCTTGTAGCTTTTTGTTGGACAACCTGGCACTCTGGCAACCTGGGCTGTAGCTGACTACTTCTCACTGAAGTGGGCTTCACTCTAAGCCCCCTCCCAACCCAGAGCTTGTCTGAGTTTTAAAAAGAAACGAAAGGAGAAAGATGAAATGCTTCATTCCAAGGTATGCACCCCAAGAAAGGAGGAAGTGGGAGGGAGAGGGGCCTTTGCAGGGTCTGCTGGCTCCCTTCCCCCTCAACCCCAGACCCTCCTGGGCTCTTTTCCACCAAGATCTCTGCAAGTTTGGCTCACCTGAGTATCCATTCCCCAGGCCAACACTCTCAACAGCTCACCTTCTAACAGGAACTGAAGGTTGCAAACCCCCTGAGGTTCGTTTGGGTCTTAGAAGGCAACTCCAAAGAGCGAGAGAGAGGGGACTCAGCAACACTTCCCAAGTTGGATCACGGGCACAAATATTTGTTTTTTAAAATTGGGCGTGTTGCGGTATCCTAGCAGCTAAAACCCTTGCCTTGCACATGCCGGGATCCCATACAGACACCAGTTCTAATCCCAACAGCCCCGCTTCCCATCCAGCTCCCTGCTTGTGGCCTGGGAAAGCAGTCAAGGACAGTCCAAAGCCTTGGGACCCTGCATCCATGTGGGAGATCTGGAAGAATCTCCAGGCTCCTGGCTTTGATTTGACTCAGCTCCAGCTGTTGCGGCCACTTGGAGAGTGAATTAACTGATTGAAGATCTTCCTCCCTGTCTCTCCTCCTTTCTGTATATCTGACTTCCAAGAAAACCCACACCTACGAGTTCAGCCATGGAAGGTGCCGGAAGACACATGCTGTGAATAATATTGTTTTTTTTCCAAGGTGGAAACTGAGTAACTTAAAATCCACATTCTTCTGATGCTCCTAGTCGCAGGAGCACGCACTCTCACGGCTGCACTGGCAAACCAAGTTTCACATCAACAGCCCTCGTATCCCCTTCTTAGGAGCCGCTGTGCCAGCGTCTGGCCTGGTGGTATGGCAAGTAAAGCCACCGCCTGTATCACCGGGTATTAATGCCCATATGAGCACTAATGTCCGATGCTCCACTTCTGACCCAACTCCCAGCTCCCTGCCTGGGAAGAGCAACAGAAGACAACCAAGTCCTTGGGCCCCCACACCCCCTAGGGGAACCTGGAGGAAGCCCTCAGACCCTGGCTTTGGCCTTGTCCAGCCCTGGCCATTTGTGGAGTGAACCAAAGACTGAAAGACATTCTCTTTTCTCACACTTCAATCTGAAAAAGCAAACAAACACACCACTGTACTTAACGAGATCAAACCAGTTGATCCAGGGAAATCATTTTACATCCCGTGAATGCAAATGACAAGAGTGATCCAGACCTACAAGGGACCCTCACATTGTGAGGACAAAGTGAGGCTCCACACTCCAAGAGAGAAAGTTAAGGTGCAGCCGAGATTCTCCTCTGGAACCCATCTGGGCACAAATTCCCTGCAACTTCAGGTGTCCAAGGGGCCCAGCAGGACCAGCAGGGAAGTCCAGAACCCCAGCTCGGGAGGGGCGCACAGGGGCCGAGCTCTGGAGACAGTCCCAGGCTAGGGGGCAGCAGCAGCACAGGACAGCCAGGAAACAGGGCGGGGATGGACAGACGTGTAGTCTTTGCCACTCTACTGTCGGCACATAGACTCAGCCCTTTTGGCCTCGTTTCAAGAGAAACTGCACACAACCAGGCAGAATTCTCGGTGATTCAGAGAAAAATACCGCCCCCCGCCCCCAGTACCCGTGGTGCCTGGAGCAGTTTGCCCAGGGACAGAAGTGCGCTCACATTAAGGGGCACAGCGCCTCCTTGCACCTGATCCTCGAATCAAAGAGTCCTGTGTAAGGCAGACAGCGCTCGGCTCCACCTGCCCTTGGCTCCCTTCGCATCAGATTGAGGCTAGGATTTTCTTTTCTTCCTCTTCTTCCTTAAAGAGTTACTCAGTCCAGAAGTTCAGGCAGGAGACACTTTTACAACTGTTCACTCCAAACAAAAGGAAAGGCATAACCCACTGGGACAGATGTGGAGTACAGGACTCATGACAGGGAGAGGAAGCCTTGAGCTCAAATGCCAGGGGCAAGGGGACAGCGCAGGCAAATAGAGAATGGGATACTAAAGCTATGGGAGATCTGGGGACAGCCTAATGTTGTCCCCAAGGCCTCACAGGAGCGCGGACAGGTACTCCGCCATGGGGCTGTTTGCCAGTTAGGAAGGAAGCCTCACCTCTCTTTCCTCCGCCTGTGGACACCTGCTCTCATCAACTGCCCACACAAAGGGGCTTCCCATCCACCCCCAGGGCTAAACAAGTTCCCAGCCAGGTGCAGCCACAGCCGCCTGGAGCTGCTGAACTTCCAAAGCTGGGGTGACTCCCTGCCTGGAGCGCCCCAGTCTTCAAAGTCAGTCACCACCTCTTCGGTTTCTTTCCACAGCTCTAAGTTACCCCGGTAGCCCTCTACCTGGGCCTCACGTGGCAAAGTCCCAACCACAAGACTCTACCTCAGCTGGAGAGGGGGTTCCTCCCTCCAGGTCTTCGGGAAAGGGGGGGGGGGGGGGTTGGCCCTACCTCCCTCCCCTAGAAAATATAAGGAAGCATCTCCTAACCTGCCAGGAGCAGTGTATTTCGGGCCTTCCAAATGTATGGGGGGAGTGGGGCGGAGAGGGGAGCGACAGGGAGAGATGGAGAGCATGGGAGAGACAGCGATGCAGGAAAAGGAGTGAGGGTGGTGGGGAGGTGCGCAGGACGGAGTTGCCGAGATGGGGAGGAATCAGAAACCCTCCCCGGCTCAAGAAACTCCCTGGTTGGCGTCCCAGCACACAGGTTGTTGCTGTTGGGCGGGGGGGCTTCTTCAGGGTCTCTCTCTGTCTTTGCTTGCCTAGCCTCCCTCCACAGCAAAGGTCGTGTTATTAAGCTGTCCCAAAGTCTGGCTCACCCGCTAGGGGCCCCACCCCCACTCCGACCCAAGTCCCATCGCCGGCCACGGATCTGCTGCCCCTACCGGCCAGCGGAGCAGCGTCCCCGGTCCCTGCGCCGAGGCGCGCCAGGCGGCGCCCTGCAGGAGAGCCAAAAAAGGTGACGCGGGCTGGCTTCGGGGGCAAAACCTGCCGCCCCGATCCCCACCGGGGTGAGGGAAAAGAAACCCGTACGGTCCCCGCTGCCCCGCGACCACAGAGCCCCGGGACCCGCAGCGAGGCTCCCCAGCCCTCCACACTTTCCAACCCCGGGCTCCTCACCTTCTCTCCGGTCAGCACGTGCAGCCCCTCGCGCACCTTGGCGAAGGAGCCCTCGCCCAGCTTCCTACTGCCGATGAGGTAGTTGCCCACGCGCTTGTGATGCTGGAAGTCGCGAAGCCGCTCGCGGGGCACGCCGCTCACCCAGGCCGGCAGGAAACTTCCCTCGCAGGCCGCCGCCGGCCGGCCCGCGTCCTCCGCGCCGCCGCTGCCACCCCCGCCACCGCCCCCGGGCGCCACCGGCTCGCCCAGGAGCCCGTCCCCCGCTGCCGCCGGCATCGCGCTCGCCCGCAGCCCGCGCTCGCCGCTCCTCCTTCTTCCTCGGGCTCCTCCCGCCGCCGCTGGCTGCCGCCTTGCGGGGCGCCCCTCCCGGCCCGGGGCTCGGGGCTCGGGGTTCCGCGGCTCTCACGCCCCGCGCGCAGCCGAGCGCGGCGCGCAGACAATAGCAGGCGCCCGGGGGCCGGGGACCCGCCCCCAAGAAGTTCTTGCAAGGAGGATCGCCCCGGGCCCTTCTGGAGACCCCGGGACGCCGCCTCGGGTCGGGAGAGGACGGTGTGGAGCAGACGATCGGGGGTCCCCGGGAGGGGCGCGGTCGGGTAACCGGGATCCCCGGCGCCTCGGAGGTAGCCTCCGCCCAGGTCGCTGCCGCCGTCCGCCCGGCGCGGGCGCTCGGGTCCGGCTCGCTCGCTTGCTTGCTTGCTTGCTTACTGCTAGCTGCCCGCCCGGCAGGCTGCAGGCGCCCTCTGGAAAGCAGCGGAAGAAAGCCCCATTCAGTTTGAATTTGCAGAAATTCAATCCGGTCGCGGGCGGCGGGGACAGATGCGAGCTCCACTCGGCAGCCTGTGCACTTTCAAATCCTCGTAGCCCCTCCTTCGCGGCGCGCAACAGCCAGGCTCGACCCTGACTCCGGAGCGGAGGGAGGGAGGGAAGGAGGGAGGGATGGAGGGAGCGGCGAGCGGGCGGCGGGGCCACCTGAGCGCCAGACGCGGGAGGACCCTGCGCGGCCGCGCGCGAGCGCGCTCCCAGGCCTCCTCGGGCTGCGCCTCTGCTGCAGATCCTGGGTTGGGGCTTTCTGGACCTTTGGGCGCAGAGAGTTCCCCTCCTACGCAGGCCGCACCCACTCGGGGCGGGCAGTGGGGAAGGAGCTAGACGCCCCTTGGAATCCTGTGCCCAGACCAGAGCAGCACGGCAGCATCCCCTAGCCCGGGACTGGACCGACTGAAGGAGGATTTGGGGGAGGTAGCAGGCCAGGCGGCCCCGCTGAAGGAGGAGACGCCAGCCCAGCAGCAGCTGCGGAGGGCCCGGGGCGTTAGCTGCCTACGCGCCTTGCACGGACCCTACCCACCGACCGAGAAGACACCCGCGATTGCGGGGTGGGCTGGATGGGAGCTCCCGGCTGGGCGGCTGCTTTTGTTCTGGGAAGCACTCTTTTCCTAAACCATCAGGGTTTCTGCGCTGGAGACCCTGACCCTCAAAGCTCCAGGATCCCCAACCAAGAATGAGGAACCCCCTGGGGCCAGGGTAGGGGGGGGGTGGAGGGGGCAGGGGAGAAGCCCGAGGGCGGGTTGAGTCGGGAGGCCTTTGCAAAATGCTACCTGTTGAGGTGCCCGCGCTTTAATGCAAAGTCTAGCCCCGCCCGATCCCGCGGCTCCAGCGCGGGAAAGGGAGGGTTCGGGGCTAACAAAGTTCTTTCATTGTTTAACCCCGGCGAAACCAGGTGGCATCGAGCCACAACCGCGCTCGGAGACCCGGAGGAGGAGTTGGGGGCCTCGGGCACTGACCACTGCCATCGCCTTCACCGCTCCCCCCCACCCCCCGCCCGCCCCAGGAAAATGCGACCCAGATAAAACGCAGATTGCACAAAGGGTTTGATTTCCCATACCCTGGGGGCCCTGAAGGGCTGACCGGCTGCCAGCCCCTAGCTTTCGGTTGTGGCCAAGACGCTAGGGTAGCGTTCTTGTGGCTTTCAAGGGTGCGGCTGGCGCCGTATCCAAGGTCCACTTTGGACTACTCTTCTGGCTGTGCCCCTGTGTCACCCGTACAGTTTCTCAAGATTCATCCTTTAATATCTCTAATTCAGGAATCTGATTTTAAAATGATGAGGGGAGCCGGCGTGGCGGCGAGGAGGGTGTTGTAATTCGGCGGCAGCAGAGTAGATGTTGAGAAAAACAAGTATACAAGACTCAGCTAGGGTCAAGGCCAAGGGGGGTCTCCTATCAGGAAAAATTGTGACGTTTGCCACAGTGCAGCCCTAACTGTTGAATAGGAGCTGTGGAAACTGCCATTTATTGATTAGGGCTTAAGGCAAATTTCAGAAACCATTCATCGTAATATCGTTATAGTTTTAAAAAAAAATACAGAGGACTTTTACAATGAAATAAGAAATTTTTCTTTCCTTTTAATTATCCTGTAAGGGTGGATGTCGCTGTCCCGCAGCAATGGACTTGGTGTATGGTGCCGATAATAACAAGCGTGGACTCTGATGGTCAAAGCCGAAGTTTTATTAGTGGCATCAGACTTTATACACTGAGGGTCATATGGGATAAGGGAGCAAGTATTGAGCTCATCAACAAAACCCAGTAACAGTTGCTATGCTTTTGTTTGGAACTCCTTTTGTCCTGTATATTCCACCAAGTGTTCTCACACACATGCTGCCCACTCAACTGTTCTTATACAAATGATATCCAATCAGTTACACAAAAGGTATCCATTTGGTTGTTCTCATGCAAATATTATCCAATCAACTGTACTCCTATGCTCGCTGACCCTCTAGGGTACAAAGTCCTCCTACAGGTGGAGGTTAGGAAAGGGGTGAGGAACAGAGGAAAATCCAGCAGGTTATGTCTGTTGCAAGCCTGTTGCCTGGTAATTCCCTCTGTTGGGACGGGCACCTGGACAAGCCTGAATCCTCCCCCATCCCAGGCTTAGCAAGTGGCCTGTGAGCTACAGGTCCTGCTGTCCTGCTGAGAAAGAAATAACGCAGAAATCCCGGTCTGAGAAAGCAAAGTGGATGGCAGGAATCAAGCAGGCAAGGTTCTCTCAAATTAGCCCGAACTTGATTCCTTACCGCCTGGGCATAGCGTCTCAGCAACTTCACCCAGCACACCTGCTTCTGCCTTCCCAAACGCTCTGTCTCAGACCCGCTTCGGTGGGTCCACTGGGCCTCCTATGTTCTCTCAGCACATGCTAGCTCATCCCACCTGCCTTTGGACTGTACGATTCTTTAGACTTATGGAGGAGAGGGGCTGTTTCTAATTTTATTTCTAGTGGCCCTGTAATGCCAGCCCAGTGCCTGGCACAATCAGAACTCCATTCACTGGTGGCTGAACCGAGGAGCAAAAACAATCTTATTTCGTTGCTTCCAGCCACAAGATCCCTGGTGTCCTGGGGGAAACTTGAGTAATTTCGTTCTAAAAACATTTTCAGTTACATCAATGGTTGCCTTTGGGGATCAATAAAGATAGTCCTTTGTCTTGCCGTTGACAGGGGCGGTCTCTAATTGGGATGAGTTAATTCCTTAAAGACCCCAGTCCTGCGTGGTGGGCTGGAGAGCCCCAGGGAAGGGTCTCCTCTGACTTTCACCAGCTGCTTCCTAACTCCCTGTCTCCTTCTGAGCCTCCTCCCTCCATCTGACTGGGAGACAGTCTGTGTGCTCCCACAGAACGCCAGCTAGGAGACCCAGCTGGAAGCAGTCAAAGACAATTAGAAGTAATCAGGCTGGCACAGCCAGGAAATGAGCGTTGGCTGGCAGGGGTGAAGCTGGCAGCAGCAGCCTGGGAACCGGAGCAGGGACAGATTGCATGAGTAAGTTCTGCCAGGAAGACGGCCTGTGAACCTTGCCTGCTAAGGTTTGTGACCCAAAGCCTCTCATAACGTAACAAGGCGGAACTTGAACCCGTGTCCCCAGAGTTCTCGTCCACCATTACTCTCGACATGACCCCAGCTGTTGAACGTACCTCAGTATGGAAGAAGCTTCTAGAAAGGATTCCTGGCCATCAGCAAACACCTTCCAAGTCCAGCCACCTCTGTGTGAGGAGTGATTTGAAGGTCGTCACGGAGACTGATACCCTGGACCTGGCGCCATTTCCTCTTCCTCACAGCCCACAACATTCGCGCCAGCCTAGCCATCCACCAATCAGATGTAACCTGGCAATCCACCTGAGAATCCCACCCCCAATCTCCCAGCCCCTTCCCCAACCCCGCCCCCTCACCAATCATCCCCAGGCACTAATCCCCTGGGGCCTGCTCTCGACCCCTCCCAATCCCCGCCCCCACACCTTGTGGGCCTACCTGCATAAAAGGTCCCAGGTGCCTCTTTCTCCCCTTTTTCTGATCTCCTCCACCTCCACCCTGTTCCTGCCCCGCTGGAATAAACCTCCTAAGATACCTCGTTGCGTCTGGTGTTTTCAGCTCACAGTAAAGAACCAGGTTGTGGGAATTAGCTGCGAGTATAAAATATCATAACATCATATGAACTAGAACTCAACCACTGTTTTAAATAACTAACACTCTGACCACTTCTCATCTCTGACTCTGGCCTTCGATTCCCAGCCCAAGCTACCAGCCCCCTTCTCATCGCCTAATTACTAGGCCTGCCTTCCAGGTCAAATTCAATATCATCTCTTAGAAACAGAAAGTCAATTACATCACATGTCTGTGCTCCCCTTCCTCCAAAGTACTCACAGAAAAGATACCCCAAGATTCTCCATCTCTTTTTGGAGCTTCACCCCTGCCGGCCAGCCACTCCCACCCACATCCCATCCTGCACTTCCTGCCAACCACCAAACTTTGCCATCACTTGTCTCCAACTCTGTTCAACCTGCCTAACAGAAGCCTGGACTGGGTGGCTGCAGGGACACATAGCTGCTTGTCCCAGGCCTGGAGGACGTGCCTGGAGATGGATCATAAACAGCTAACTCACACAATTGTGGAGAAGACCAAGATCAAGGTGCCAACAGACTCTGAAAGTCAGAGGTACAGAGAGGGAGAGACAGAGAGGTCTTCCATCCGTTGACTCACTCCCTAAATGGCTACCATGGCCTTCGTTGGACCCACAACAAAGCCAGGAGCCAGGGGCTTTATCCGTGTCTCCCACATGGATAGCAGGTACCCAAATAGTTGGGTCATCCTCCATTGTTTTCCAAGGCCATTAGTAGGGAGCTGGATTGGAAGTGGAGCAGCTGGGACACAAACCAGCTCCCATATGGGATCCTGGAGCCAGAGGCAGTCGCTTAAGCTGCTGCCCCACAACAGCAGGCTCCTTGTTTTTCTTAAAAGGA